TTTGCTTCTTTCTCAAAACGAAAAATACCTTAAAAAGCAAAACATTTAAATATTAAATTTCTTCTTACACATTTTTACATCTTTTCTATAAAATTCTTTGCATAATTTTATTTAAATGTTTTCTTATATTTAAAATATCTGTTAATTGATATCTTAATTTGTAATGTTATTAATGATTTTTATTTTGAAGAGATATCAATGTCTATAAAACTGATAAATGTAATAATTAATAATAAAAAAAAATAAACTTAAAAAGACGTATGTGAGTAATAAAATTTTCATTAATTATATCGTTTATGATAAATTTAAGTATTACTTCTACATCAAAAATGTTTTTGTTTCAACTATTCGATATTTTTTATGCTTTATATTCTGATATTATGTCTGAAAAAGGTAAAATTTAAAAAAAGTTGTTCAATTTGTTAAAGGTAATGCGTACAATCGACAAATGCTTTTCCGATGACCGAGTTAGCAAAACGCTTTATTCACATTCCAAAATGTTTCGTTGCAATAGCTTTCATTGGGTAACTGAATAAAGACTAAACAATGGTTCCACTTTTAATCGATAACGAAAGCATGATATACGCTTCATTGTTTTCTTAAATCTTCGTGAGTTGGCTAACTCAAGCATTTTAATTTTTAACTAATCAATTAATTCAATTAATATTGTTATTTAATTAAATGTTCTGTACTTAGGGCCAAGTGCCACAATAAAATAATAACTGTACATAATGATGTAAACCACACAATTTAAAAAACTTATGATGACGCCTTGTTTACCGGGCAAGAACTTCAAGTAACACCACGAAGAGATGACCTTTAAAGTATGATGGTACACATGAAGAAAAGTAATCTGACTTTGCTTCTTTCTCAAAACAAAGAATACCTTGAAAAGCGAACATTAGAAGTTACATATTTTCTTTACAAAATTTCTTGTTTATTTTCAACTAAACGCTCTTTTTAATATTATAGAAAATAGTTATATAAAATAATTATTTATTAATTTTAATTTGATATATTATTAATGATTTTTATTATTTTAAAAAGATATTGAATATACTATTGATATTCTGTTTAAAGGAAAAAACATTAAACATTTTTTTCAATTTATTAGAAATAATGCGAACAATCTACGTATATTTTTCTGATGACGAGTTAGCAAAACGTTCTGTTTATCTTTCAAAATGTTTGTTTGCAATAATTTTCGTTAGTTAACTGTCGGAACAATGATATTACTTTTACAAGTCAATAATTAAAGAATGATATGTTTTTTGTATTAAATTTTTTATAAATTAATTAACTTAAACTTTAATTTTTAATTAATCAATTATTTTTGTCATTATAAATTTTCTTACCGTGTCCAGAAGTTCGGTAATTTTTGCGAAAAAATACCACCAAGCAAATTGTAACATCTGTACGAACGACATATACATGTATATAAGTAACATAGTGAAAAAATATATTTGCTATTTATTAAAAACTGTTAAAATTATTTAAATTAAATTCAATATTGTTAACAATTGCGAAAGAAATGCTTACCGCTATTCGTACGTTTTTTGGAGGTAATATATAATCTTGAGTATCATATCCATAAGCGGGAAACAAATATTTAATACCGATGTTCAATATCTAAAATCGACAAATGTTTTATATTGATGTTTTATATTGATTATTGTATATCTTAAAATATGTGTTAATGTAATAGTTTAGTCAAACTTCTTGTTATATTCTTACATGTATTAATCTTATATTTAATTTTGAATACCTACTTATATGTTGGTTAAAAAAAAGTTAATTAAACTTAAATAATTTTTATCAGAACATTTCAAGTTTAAATAATATTAAATATATAAATTATATAATTCTCAAGCTATTTAAACGTATAATTAATAAGTATTTATCTGAAATATCCTTTTGTGATATTTTAAATGGTTTATATGGCATTCTTCTGAACATATACTTAACATGAGAAAATGTAGAACGGAGTATTTATATGTCATGATTACGTTTTTTTATTCTTAATATTAAACACTGATAGAATAAATGTACTACAAAAAATTAAACTTACAAAACCTGTCAACCAAATAGTACTGAAGAGTACTTGGATAGCGTTATATAAGATCATCACGGTATTCAGCTGAAAGGCCGGCCGTTTTTCCATCATTTTTGGTCCAGCTTTTAAAACAAATATTAAATATGCGCCGACAATACATAACATAGGACCCGGAGATTCCATTAAAAACCAAGTATCTACCACTGGATCTGTCACAGAGAAAAACAATATAATTTATTTATTTTTGGCAAAATTTTTTAAAAGTAAAATGTGTTATTCTTATCTATACACATTTACGTATAATATATATGATAAAATATAAAGTAATAATTGCATAAATATTATTAGAAAATGCGTGAAAATAGCATTAAAATTCATCTGTGATAATAAATATTAAGCAGAATAGTTATCACATGTTTATCGTGTTAGTATTATGAATAAAGTATTATTATATGAAACGTAAAGATTATTCCTAAATCCTTTTACATGATGTGTCTGATAAAATGGATGTGCTTGGAACATGAGTATATTTATGTTTATTAATTTCCACGATAATTTACGCCAGTATATGTACGAGAGATGTCGTTTATAAAAATCATTCTAATGATGACAAACCTCTTAACATAACAAAATATTAGATAACAAGTTACCTCTGTCAAGTTTCACGTGCAATGCGTATATGATTGGTGATATCAGGTATATTTGCATTCATAAGAATACTTATTGATTCTTTCTTTATTTAGCATAAAACAAAGCAGTTAAGTTGTACGATTAATTATGTGATTGTAAGAATTATTCTTCTTAAGTGTGACAAAAAAATTTTGCCGCGTTGAATAAATACAATAGACATCGTTAATATATATGTACGACTGTATAAATCTATAAACAGCGTATTGTATTTTTGTTACATATAAACAAAAAATTCATTTTAAGTACATAATTTAGAACATTTTGTAAATTTCTGAGTTTATTTATAAAGAAAAATATTCTTTATAAATAGAAAAATACTCTCATGGTAGATTTTGTGCCATTTTGTTAAAAAGAACTTACCTCGAACATTTCTTAAGACTTCATTATAGTTGCTAATCATTTGTATGAGAGTTATGAGACTAGCCATGTTGATGATGTTTTATAAGAAATGGTTCTTGACTTATTTACCAGAAAGTCTGAAATATATCAATTTTGTTTATCACATTAAACAAATTATACTGTTGTAAAAAACAAGTAGTCGATGTAAATCCATCATAAATTTATATTCGCTTTGTTTTTGAAAAATCTTGATGCACATTCAATAAAAAAATCGTGCTGTTTTACTATTTTATAACATACCTATTATAATGTGTAACAAATAATATAAATTAAAAAGTTAAAATTAATACTTGATAAAATCCTAATAAATAAAAACAAAATAAATAAACAATACAATATAAGAAAGTCACTAAAATGAAAACTGAAATGCCAGAAACAATATGCGAAGTTATGTAACCGCAAATACTTAATTGCCCAACTAACTACAATATTCTTGTATAAAAAAAGATGACAAATATAAAAAAATAATAATTACCCGTTAATCATGGTCGATATTCATTCGTAAGGGAAGAAATAGCAGTACATTAAGGAAATAATGACAATTACCTGAGAGCCGTTCCTGATGTACGTACGTGCCAGTAAGATTTACGAAGACGTGTGTGTTAGCTAAACTGTTGGAATTGCATTTAAAATTTGATTCGCTCACTATTGGTTAGAGATCTTAAATCTAAATCATACGAGGATGTATACGTCATATGCATATAATGTTACATCCGGTTCTCTTTTATATAACTTTCATGTATATTCAATAAGTTATGTAAACTATAGATTTTCAGTATCTAAAAGGCAATAATTATATTGTATTAAAATAAAGCCTTGGAATATGTTTCCTCTGCCTATCTCAAGATTCACAGCTTGAATCTGATATCTCTGCTAATGAGCTCTTATGTTTATTTCTATCAATGGCCAAGTTTATACCCATCACTTGATATACGTATTAAATAGTAAATAACTAGTAAATAAGTCTGATTATTGGCTGATCAGTTCAAATATACTATTTGATACGCGTATTAAGAGATCGGTGTAAACTAGGCCAATGTAGATTAATTCGTAGCGAACACACTTTAACTTAAATGCTTAACTCAGCGACTTCAATCTTGGTTTAACTTACCTTTTCTAATTCTAAGAATTGGAAAAAGATAAAAGATAATTTTTCTAATTCTTAGAACTAGAAAAATATAAAAGGTAAGTTAAACCAACATTAAAATCAATTTACATTGGTAAAAAATAGACATTAGTAGGACATTATAGCTGACGTGCTATAAACTGAAAACTAAGTAACATCAAAATAAATAACTCACTTTGAATGATGACGTAAAGAAACTTTTATATCCGTTTCAAATCCGTATACGTCGATTATTTCAATTTCACCGGTTATCAATATCTTAGATATCAAATTAACGTTAAATCGACATCACCTTTCCGACTGGGTGTAGAGAACTGTCCTCTTCATTAAATTTTATTTTCGCAACAATTCACTTGGTAAGCAGAATTACAATACAACGCTGAGTTAACATTTAAGTTAAAGTGTGTTCGCTACGTATTACTAACGAGAACTGAAAAACTCAAATTGAAATAGATCTTCACATAGACAAAGCACAATACATTGTTAAAATAATGATAACCAAAGTCGATAGCACAATCGACCGATACCGGAAGTAATAATTAATGTGAAAGAAAAAAACTTAAAATTATTAAAAAAGATAAAAACAAGGTAATGATGGGTATGCGAAGAAGATAATCCATTTAGATAAAAGTAGGTTTTTTACTGCTATGTGGAAAATGTTTCAAGAGGAAAAATAGAGAAAGTCCTTTTCTTTTTTTCCATTAAAACGCAAAAGATAACATATTTCAATAAAAGTTAAACATGATATTATATAAGGCATTGCTTGTTAAAAAAAACTTTAGACATATTAATGATAGTAATATATACACATGATTTCTTAAGATCCTAAAATAGCAGTTGTGTAGCAGATAATATATATGGAAATGAAGAAGTTATATTCGTTATTTGCCTAAATATCTTAATTATGTTAATTTTACTAGCTGGTTACCCGGGCTTTGTTTGGGAGTCGTTTTTCTTCAAACAACTTCATTTGTGTTTCAATATCCTTAATCGAAAAAAATTTCTTTATCAGGCAATGGCTTATCATCAGGCAATTGCAAAAAATCCTTTATATTCATTTTTATTCAAATTTTATTATATTTATTTATTATTAATTAAATTATAATATTTCAAATTGCACAATATATTTTTTATTCAATACCGATTCCCAAAAAGATCGGTAACAAAAAACTATACACTCTATAGCACTCCTTGGAAAATTCTACCCTTATTTTATATACTTTTGGTAAAAATTCGGTCGAATAGTTTAAGAGTGTATAAAGACATACATCTGTATAGAACAATGAAGCTGTTTATAGGGAAAAATTACGTTTTCTCGTAACACGTGACGCGATCGCATCTTGAAGGAAATTCATACGGTGACACGCGAACGTTTCATACAATTACCTATTTACTTAAGCTTTGGCGCGCAATTCGTGAATGAACTAAGTGGCTGACACGACGCGACCTATTGTAAACATCACGAGTGATGCGTAGTTTAAACAAATATCAAGTCAGCATACTTAATCGGCTGCATGTTTCGATATGCTTGAAATATTCTTCTCAAATATTTCTACGTTTCATAAAACAAATGACGGCGGAATATTTAACGTTTTATGACGCAAATTCGCACATTGACAAATTATGTCTCTTATATTTTCTTACTCTCTGTCTCTTATATTTTCATTCTCTGTCTCTTATATTTTTAATTAATTTGAATAGACAGATTATTAGCACGTACTTATTAAGTGCGCCAGTATGAAAAACTGTTATATAAAATTTGTTGTACAAAATTGTTTTAATATATCCAATCAAAAATATAACATAATTGTGCATTGCAACATAAATGATGTTAATTTTCGTAAAAAGAATGTTTAGATGAATAATAAATGTTGTTTAACATTTCATAATTTTCAAAATGTTAGAAATATTTTTTAAAAATGTTGAAATTAGATAAATAAAAATAATGATTGAGACAGGGTTTTATTTCTGATTTTATTATTAATTATAACAACCACCCTCACTTGACGCATCAGCCGGGTCCGTAGCCGTCGGAGCTCTAAATTTTAAAACAAAAATATTTGTTGGACGTCAATCAATTTTTATAAAATTGGTAAAAAAATAAAAAAACAAATAGAACTCAAAGGCGGATAGGTGGAAGGACCCTAGGATATAAATCGGATCATGGCAACGTTGAGGGGAATACAATTATACTGTTACATGATAAACGTTTTAAAAATTAAACGGTTTTAACCCCATCAAGATAATAGCTACGTTTTTTTTAAGCTGTCTAATATGTTATGTTTCCTTAATTCTTTGATTGCAATACGCTACAATTATAAATCTTCCAACATAAGGTAGGACATAATTATATATATAATTATTATTACATAATTGTATATGTTGCATATAGGAAAGATATTTCCAAAAGAATTATATTTAATAAATAATATATCATACATACTTGACATATTATGTATCCATATTTTGTTGTTTTATGTAATTACAGACTATAGAAGCTGTACAATTTAAGCTAAAAATTGTATACATAATAATCCACATACATACACAATTTTGTTATATAATTCTACCTCAACGCTAATGACTCTTTCTCTTTTTTCAATATTAATCTATGTTAATTACTAAATTATTTATTAAATTTTTTACTTATATATTAAATCTAAGACTTCGATTAAGTTAAATCCTGCAATCAATTAACGATTTTAACCATATTTTCTTACATACTTAAATTAAAATTGAATTTTAAATCTGATATCTAATATAATTATAAAACATGTATCTGATAATAATTAAAAATGATCTTTTATAGCTAATTATATTTATATCTAATGTATAAATATTGGAACTTCTTATATCTTGACATAAATATAAAATCTAATAATATTATGGAAATTAATAATAGTATTAATAATAGTATTATGAAAATTGTAATTCCTAATATATTAATTGCAAATTATTTAAAAACAACTAAAAAAACTTTTAGTGTTGTATTAAGAGAAATATTTAGATATTGATGTCGACAAAAAGATTCGAATATTTGAAAGTGCAATTTAAAATTTTATAGATAGATATTTTAATTAAAACTCAAAAATAAGCTACATAGAGATTCTATAAATTATAAATCTCATTTTCTCTTTATTTACATATATCTATATGTACATCTATTTATTACACACTTTTGCTATCATTTTATTGTTAAAAAATTAATGACACAATTTGAACATTACTGCACACTTTGTAGACTGTAGCCACTTAGTTTCATGTTTCCGTAATAATATTATTATTATTATTTGTATAAAAAATTTAGTTATAAATAAATTTAAATTATTTTTTTGTATTTACTGATTGTTTGCAACATGTAACATTCATAATTAAGTTATTTTCTTTTTATATGCTTGACGATAAAAGTCACTAAATAGGTACATGAAGATTATTACGACTATTGTGAAGAAATAAGTTAGAGCTTTTGGTGTTCGACAATCCAAGATTAATGTTAGTACTAAGTAGACTAACATTAAAGCAAACTGCACCTGAAATTTAAAAGAATTTTAAGTATTAAATTTGTATAACGTTTCCACAATCTGTTTATTTAATTAAACAAATAATTAAAATAAAAATATATTAAACAAATTAAATAAGTGCTGTTAACGATATTAATGAAAAAGAACTAAGAAAAATGAAATAGACATTTATATGTATAATAAAATCTTATATCATTTCATATGTCTATTGCGCCAAAATTATTATGATAGAATATAATATAAAAATATTATACTTATAATATTTTTATGATTTATAAAAATACAAATCTTTAATTGGTTGTATTAGTAGATGGGCAAAAATTGATGTTAATAAAATATTAAAAAATCTGTAATAAAACTTTGACAGTTAATTATGTAAAAATTAATTACCAGCTGAATCCAAGTCATATATTTCTTCCACCAGAGATACTTTTTGTACTTAGGGCCAAGAGCCGCGATGAAATAATAACTGTACATAATAACATGGACCAATGAATTCAAGAAACCTATGATAACACCTTGTTCACCAGGCAGGAATTTCAAATAGCACCACGAGAAGACAGCCGTGATAGTATGATGGTAAACATGAAGAAAAGTAATCTGACTTTGCTTCTTTCTCAAAACGAAAAATACCTTAAAAAGCAAAACATTT